TTTCATTCGGAACTACACTTTCAAATTTCAGGCAGCTTTGTTTGCCTCTACTTTTTTTCCCTTTTGCCCTCTCTTCTCAGAATTCAGGGTTCCACTGAACTGCAGAAAATCATTTCAATAAAGAGTTTCATTGGGAACTCCACTTTCGAATTTCAGGCAGCTTTGTTTGCCTCTAGTTTTTTCCCCCTTTGCCCTCTTGTGGCTCGTTTTTTCTGTTCGCAACTTTGCAGAAATGTCCGTTATGCTATCTGGGACTTTCTAACCTATATTCTTTGTCTGAGATTTAATTTAGCTGCAAAATGTCTGTTGAAACAATGTGGGGAGGGAGGATTAGCATGGAGCAATAATTGGTAAATAGGCCCCGCTTGCCCAAAGTATGGGACAGTTGGTAGAAAGCACCCACGCCAAAACCATACCGGCCGTTTCGTACTACCGGCCCAAATGTCGTCAGCCTGGGCGAAAGGCGCCTACACCTGGTGCCCACAGCCTGTTTTACCAGTCCATGAATTTGGCTCTTTTTCTGTGCGGAACCGATAGGAACCTTCTTTCTTAAAACACCGTACCTGGGCCTCATTCTATCCTTCAGCGGTAGCACTCTCCGCCTCTTCTACATCAAAATGAATCTGGCGCTTTAAGTGCCAGATTCATGATCCCATAGGCCCCTTGGAGCGATGCCTGGGCCTGTAGTACCCCACATGGAAGACATTGGGCCGGTAGTACCAAACTGCCGAACTTTGGGCCACCAAAACTGAAAAGGTTTTGGGTGGGCCCTTTCTACCAACTATCCCCCAAAGTACGCTGGTCAGGACCTACCGTCCAAACTTTTCCTATTTGGGTACCAGGCACATTTAGGAAAAGTAGGGGACAGTGGAGTGAAAATAATGACCTTGCCAGATCATGATCTGATGCAAAGACGCGAATCACTTCCAGGCGCTGTACATGAATATCTATCTATCTATCTATCTATCTATCTATCTATATATCGTATATATATATATATATATATATATATATATATATATATAAATATATATATATATATATATATACTGGGTCACCAGCCCGTACGTACGGAGGTCCCCGGGCACACCTCCATACGTACGGGCGTTTGGGGTCCCGTACGGGGTCCGAACCCGACGACCTCCAGCCCCCACCAAAAATTATGTCGGGGCCCAAAAATAATTATTGTTTTCTGAATTTGTTCTTGTGACTTTTATATGACGTGAGGTACATGCCTGTAAATTTTCAAGTCATTTGACTGAGCCAAATAAGAATTAAAAATCGTCAAAGATGGCGGTGTCAAAACGTGCTCACCCACATATTTTTTCACCTTTTACTTTTAGTTTTCACTTTATTTCGGGATCTAAACAATTTTATTATTTTTTTAAATTTTTTTAGAGGGTTTTGTATTATGTGAAGTACACATCTGTAAATTTTTAGGGATTTTGGCTATGCCAAAAAAAAAGAAAAATCGCTAAAGATGGCGGTGTTGAAAACATGAGAATGAGAATGTGAGGATCACAAGTAGTGCAGCATATACGTGGCGCGATGCGCCTAAACCACACAAAGCACAAAGTCGTACACAGTAACTCGATAGGTAATCAACCGCGACATACCACAACACCCAGGAACCACCGTTCATTCCAGCTATCCCACTTTAGTTGCACCTGTCCGCGTCGTCCCGACTTCGCGGGCGGAGAGCAACTCTAGAACCCGAAGGAACTACTATGATTACTTTGTCCCTAATATAGTCTAATGATCCCAAAATCGCGTTGGTACCGATGCGCTTACACTGATTCAGTCTAAGGGTATCTTACCACTCACAAGGTACACAAAATGTTCAGGGGTTCTACTCCCCGAGGGGCCTACTTTCCGTCAGACCCGCAGAGCGAACTGATAGTTAAGAGGCCTATACACTGATTCAAAAAAAACACAACAGAAGAAAGCTACAGGTCCATTTCCACCCGGATAGGTCCACCCACGACTGACACACTGACTCAGTAATCATCCCTATACACAACCATTCTACATCCCTGTCCACATTGCCTCAACGAGTCAGACTAAAAACAACGACTACGTAAGTCAAACCATGGTCATCCTCGTATAAGTATTTCAGCATACAACCAGACACAATCAGCAAAACTACAGTTCCTACACTAAGAAATTGAAGCCTCACCCTTAAGCCCTGATAAGTCGTAAAGCGACTTCCCACGCTTTGTCCTTACCGACAACAAACCTGTGTAGCACTTTCTCAAAAAATTGATAAGGGAAACCCCACTTGTACAGTTCCCGCTGCAGTGTCAATACCCGCATAGGGATCTCTGATCGGATGAAAGGATTCCAATCAATTATGTGCAAGCACCCACAAATGACCGCGCTTTTCTGCTGTTTGCATCCCCAAGACAGATAGGACTTGCCAATTTTATGGACTAGTGGGTCATCTGTCCAGGCACGGTCCTCATTTTTAGACATCTGCACGCAGCTTAGCATGGGATAGCTCTGTCGAGCTATGACTTTACAACCTAAAAACTCAGTGGTTCCATTCCCGTCATCCGTTCTTTCCAACATCAAACCATCTGGGTAGCAGTCCCGAAACGCTTGCAGCAGTGTATTCCGATCATGTGTTTTTTTTTCTGGGCCGTAGCGAGGAGGACATCGTCCATCAATCGCGTGCCGAAGAGGCATCTAGCCCGTCGCCCCAGATTCTCCATCAGGCGAAATTCCGCGAACGCACAAAGTATGCAGGCAAGCGGTGGGCTAGTACTTTTCCCCATGGGAATTCCCACCTCTTGCCTCAAAAGAACACTTGTGGCGAAGAAGTAAGTGTTCCGCAAATCAATGCTAACGAAAGTCAGAATTTCCTGCAATTCTGGCAATGCCCAATGGTCCGCTCCAGTGGTCCAACCAAAACTGGCTCCTCTCCCTCGGGTATTAACCCGAATCATGGTCTGATTCTCGGACAAGTGCCAATCTATCAACCAATTAACCGCATCCATGATCGCCGAATGTGGCAACTTAGTGAACGTTTCCTTAATATCGAAGGAAAGCATGGACAAATTATAATCACCCCCCAGGCGTCCCAATTTTCGGTTACCCCGTTCCGGCGTTGTAACCAGATCATATACAGAACGAAGATTGAAATGTCAGTGTCTGGGAACAGTGAAGAGCATGTGATTCAAGGCCTTAGATACCTGTTTACCAACTCGAGCTAGAGGATCCGAAAACGAAGGACAAATGGGACGAAAATGAGCCAAGTCCTTATGTTTTGGGATAGCATAGGCATTCCCAAAGCTCCCCTTAGCATCCACACGTGCAAACTTCGTCAAATTATGTGCAGACACATCCTCCACTATCCCCCGGATTACGCATGGGACCGGCTCCTTTGCCACCCGATAGCCGGAATTTAGCACAAACAGGTTTAACATAGCAGTATAATACAGTTGGGGGCACATCACAACCGTTTCACCCTAATTACGGTCAACGAGTGTCACCACCAATTCATCGAACCTCTTCTTCCATAGCTCTACTTCTGTCATCGACACTGAATCTCCCAGATGCGGGGCCGCATCAGCGTCCATTATACAGTTCTGGACACAAGCACGGTCAAAAGAAGGTGGATTGCCTCGTAGATTTTTCCACCTGAGTAAACCTTGGAGCAGTTCGTCGCACAGGTTGACCTCCCTCCTTTCCTTACGCACACAAGGTATGTTGTTAGCGTTGGCCAGGAAAGGCGATACCTCCGACAAATCACATAGACGAAAGATAACATGGCCTTCCCTTCGTGGGTAAGGCAAACCTGTACAGGTACAGGTAAGCACACCACGCTTAGAGTACAAGCGTTGGTTGTGCAGTACATCAGCGATTGTGGGATTTTTTGTCCCTACGATACGCATCTTCTTTCGAGATCTAGGTAAAAAGCATTCAGGTAGGTCACACTTCATGAGAGCATCATTCGCCACCTTCCGGACTTCGCTAATACGAAGTCTATCGTCATATTGAATTTAAAAAGTCAAATCTGCAGCAAGACTCAATCCAAACCTTCCTCGAATCTGACGAGAAATCAGCCGCCTCAAATATTTACGTGTCGATCTGCACGAAAAATCCTTAATCACATTGTAGATACATAGGTAAGATTTCAAACCCCAATCATACAGCAAACTCAACTTCCCAGGATTCTTAAGGATCCCAATAAGCAATTTCTTGAGATAACCGCAACGAGGTTGCCATTTGCAAACATATGTGACCTCAAACGTACCCCCATTTTCCAACAATTCCCAACAATTCTTTAAGCGCAAAACATTAGGTCCAAATTTCAATTTAGTTTCTTCGAAAGCTTTAATCAGCTTATGCCACCGAGGACACCAAACATTGCCACCCTCTGTACATACTCGACTAGGAAGATTAACGCTCTCTTTACAATGATCCAGGAAGTGATAGAAGTCGAAGGTCCACTCCACGTCCCCCTCTCATCGAAATTTAATTGGTGATTTCCTTCCGTCAGCTACCAAGGAACCACCACCCTTTCTCCTCAACCGTTCCTTTCTGCCTGGATTCTTCCTCGCACGTCCCTTCCCCTTAGACTTATTCGTTCCCGACGTATTTAAAAAAGGAGTCCATCTTATGATATACGCGAGTTCCAACTTACCAAGATCCTGTCCACCCAAAACATCCACTGGGATAAGAACGTAATCACCTAGGCCAAAATTCGTAAGCCAACGGTGGAAGTGCAATTTAGACCCTTTCCGACAGATATATTGATGTTCTCTCCACCTAACCGTAGTATTACGTGAGGTCTTACCTACGTATGTATGCTTACAGAAAGGAGAGACGGCCACATAAACATAGTCAGATAGGTTCACAAAGTCAACCCGATGCTTATTGTACAATTCAACCCAGTTACCTACAAACTTACCTAGCCACTTAACTGCCTTATTAACAGCTAGAAGCAGAGTCACAGTTATGAACAGGGCATCAATCCAACAATCGGGCTGGGCAGTGTTACATCTCCAACTCGCAAGGAATTGACAAATACCCCACAGCTGAGGCACTCGTAAGTCCCATTAGAGCGCTGTGTCATCCTCATCATCGTTCTTCTCCGGCTTGGCGGCTTCCGAACCTTCGATATTGATGGTTTCGATATGCTGCTCTGGCGCCACACCCCCATCAAACTTCAGGTACGTACGATGGTCCGCGATATTGAATATCGCATCCACCTTCCCGTCGTAAGGCACCCCCTCCTCGCGGCACATGCGCTGTAGCTCACTGGCATCTAGCGGCTTCAGCTCATGCATCATCAGTTTGCGATACTTGTAACGCGCCAACGACCCCTTCACATGGGGAGTCTCAATGCCAGTAGTAAGATGTGTCATCTTCTTCTTGCAGGCCGACAAAGGTGTACACACCGCATTCTTCCGCTTCGCTGACCCAGGTGACTTTACGATCTTAGCACGTGCGTGTGTCAGCCTCCCAGTAAAGGTTGCTTGCTTCCGCCCAAATGTCCTTTTTGCCAGTGATTCCATCGGAGGACTATTCCCAACTGCCTTGTCAGGTCCCCGCTTACGCTTGTCGGTGATCACCAGGTCAGCAGTTCGCGCACTCAGGTCCTGAGTGATACTCGCCTCACTTCCACTACTGCCGCTGCTACACACATGTTCTGTTTTCGCCTCCTTGCCTTTGCTGCTAGGTACCTTCCCAAGCCCCGTCGCAACTTGCCTAATGCGGTGCACAAACTTGTCCTCCAACTCGCCAAGCTGTATCACCATTTGCATCTCAAATCCTTCTTAAGCTCCGCGCGTCTTTCCTCTTCCCGCCTACGTCTTTCTTTCTTCTTCCTGGCCTTCTCCTCTCGGATCGTCCTTTCTTCCTCTTTATGGATCCGCATCTCCTCCTCACGCCGCCTTGCTTCCTCCTTCTCTTGCTTACGCCTGATGTGGTTCTCCTTACGTATACGTTCCTCCTCGAAGTGTTGCTTCATAGTCTCGACGCTTCTGCCAAGTTCACTTATCTGCTGGGTCACCCCTGGATCCAGCTGCACGACAGGCTCTCACCGCCAATCCCCACGTCACGGGGACCTTGATCTTCGAGAATCCGTGGATGTTGACGGACGCACTGTCCCTCCATATCTCCTAGGCCGTGGACACTGATTAGCATAATGGCCCATCTCGTTACAGTTGAAGCAAGTAGGTCCTCGCCTCCGGTCATTTCGATCCCGATCATCCGCGCAGGCATCCCGCTCTCGTTCATCATACGCTCGACCGTCCATACCGCGGACGTCCCTGGCCTGTTCATATCTCTTCAGGTTCGACATCTACTCTCCTCGATGAAGTATACTTCCGGCCGCTTCGCTACGTCTCCGTCGTCAGTATTCCACCACACTCAAATCACTGGTAACTCAAGTATCCCGTAGTCCACAATACGACGCTCACTCACCACCGGCATGTCATCTCCACCGGAGTTCACGCTAGCATTACACATGAGAATGTGAGGATCACAAGTAGGGCACCATATACGCGGCGCGAATGCACCCAAACCACACAAAGCACAAAGTCGTACACAGTAACTCTATAGGTAATCACAACACCCAGGAACCACCGTTCATTCCAGCTATCCCACTGTAGTTGCACCTGTCCGCGTCGTCCGGACTTCGCGGGTGGAGAGCAACTCCAGAACCCGAAGGAACTACTATGATGACGTTGTCCCTAATATAGTCTAATGATCCCAAAATCGCGTTGGTACCGATGCGCTTACACTGATTCAGTCTAAGGGATGACATGCCTGTGTCGAAAACATACTCGCGCACTCACTAAATTCAATTATCTTTTTATTTTTATTTATTTTTATTATTAGTATTTGTTTTTGGTATTTTATTTTTATTTCAAATTTGGTAAGGAATTCGGATGTAATGCTCAGGCAAATCTTGTTTAATTTATTTTTCTCCATAACATATCTTTTTTTCA